GGAAGGAAGGAAGGAAGGAAGGAAGGAAGGGCACTGGTGGCACAGTGATTAGAATGCAGTATTGCAGGATAACTCTGCCAACTGCCAGGAGTTTGATCCTAACCAGCTCAAGGTTGACTCCGCCTTCCATCCCTCTCAGGTCAGTAAAATGAGGACCCAGATTGTTGGAGGCAGGAGGCTGACTTGTCAACTCTGTCAAGGCAAATTGCCCCAGATAAGAGTCAACAGACTTCAATAACGGGGGAGAGGGAGAGGCTGGGCTTAGGTTCCTTATGGAGGAGTAGACACCCCAAACTGATGACACATTTGACCCTGCCCTCGGATTCTGCTCCTACCACAACCCAGCGCTCCCAGTCTTGCAGCCCTTTCAACTCAACGGCACCCAACGCGTAGACTCAAGGTCCAACTTACTGTTGTTGAGTCCTTGCACTTTGACCTTGCCAAGGTCAAGAGGGGGTGCCACGTAGACTGGGAAGGGGCTCTTGGGGATGGCATCACCGCCGTAGGTCACCGTCACTGCCATGTTTCCCTGGTTAGCGGGGACAGGAACAGAGTATGTAAGGTCCCGCAAAAACCTGGGGGTGGGTGAAGGATTCCCAAGACAGAGGCAGGTTGTCCCATCCCACCCACTTGCTCTGTCCAAGGTCCACTCGAGAATGACCATCCAGCCTCTGTTTGAAGGCCTCCAGCAAAGGAGAACCTCTGGATGTTAAGTGGCAGCCTGTTCCACAGGCCGACGTCCAGGGGTTGGGCTGCTACCGGTCCTCCCCGCTTTGGGTGAACACCTAGCTAATTTTATGGCCAATTCGGCAAACTGGGAAATCTTACTCCTGGCTAGCCCCACCCACCCAGCCCCTCCCCTCCCCTCCCAGGGGTCTCCATGTGGCCCGTTTTGGATGCCAGGTAACTACAGGGCCCATGTGGAGTCTCGGGGAGGGCGAAAAATGGGCCTTTCAGAGGCTCTGGAGCCTCCAGGGGCCCCCCAGAACCGGAAGGTGGCTGTTTTCGCTTTCCCGGACGCTCGAAGAAAACCTCCGGAGCCCAGGGAGGATGAAAAATGGGCCTCCCGGAAGTTCCAGGAAACTGGAAACAGGCCCATTTCCAGCCTCCAGAGGGCCTGCGGAGCCCAGGGAGGCCATTTCTGTCGTCCCGGAGGCCTGAGGAAAGCCTCCTGAGTCCGAGGGCGAAAACGTCCCCTCTGCCGCCATGGTGCAGGAGGCCGACTAGGCCACGCCCACCCAGCTACCAGGCAGAGAAACGGTGGCTAAAATTTTTGAAGCCCACCCCTACCGACCTCATGGAGGGCCAAAGAGGTTCCTAGGAACATCGACCAAGGTTATGAGAAGGCGGCTTAGCAAACCACGACCCCACAGCTGGAGGACTATCCTGCGGGCCACCTGTTCTGACCGGGCTCCCAAACACGACAAGCCCTTTACAGTTAATGAAACGTTCCCTTTATTAGGAGAACCAGCAGCCGCTCATTCGCAACAGGCTACGCGTCAACTAAAAAGAGACTCCTTTGGTCTTTTTAGCGGCCAGAAATAGGGAGTGGGGGGGAGGAAAAACAAGGCATTCCTTAAATGCCTAGATATCAACTCAGCAGCCCAAAGTTGTCAGAGCGTAAGAAGGTGATTGGAGAGCATGATGGATGACTCTTGGAGACCGGAGGTGTCCTATTGGAGGAGTCACATCCAGGAGGTGGGTGAAAGACCGGGGTCAAGGGAGAAATGGATGATGGGATTTAGTTGCACCCAACCACGCGCCGACATGGCAATTTCTAATAAACCAATTTACTTTTTCTGAGACGTGGCTTGAGACTTTTGCTTTGAATGAGGGGGATTTGTTGGAGCTCTGACACTACCAAATCTCAAAGCCGTGTGGAAAGGACGCCCACTCCCTTTCCACCCTGAAGTAGCCCAACACACCAGGAGTCAGTCTCTCCTTCTCTCTCTCTCTCCTTCTCTCTCTCTCTCTCTCTCTCTCTCCTTCTCTCTCTCTCTCTCTCTCTCTCTCTCTCTCTCTCTCTCTCTCTCTCCTTCTCTCTCTCTCTCTTTCTCTCTCTCTCTCTCTCTCTCTCTCTCGCAAAGGAAGTCCTGGAAGGTGCACTCGCTTTCTTCCAGCAGCAGACACACACACGCACACACACACTCAGAAGGCACTGCAGATTGCAAGAAGAATTCTGATAATTTCCAGACAGGATTCAGAAGTGCAGGCTATCCGTGACTGACCGGCAGGAAGATGAATAGTTGACTGCAACACCTCTTCCTCTCTACCCCCTGACTTTTATCTCCAGAGCTCAGGTGAGGCTTTGCTAGCAGCTGTGGCTCTTCTGTCCCAAGGTCCAGCCCATAGATTTCCACCACTCTCCTCTCCTCTCTGCCTTCTGAGCATCTGAGCACCGGGCAGCTGTTTCCTCCTCTTCTTCCTCAGCCACCTCCAGACCTGGGGGCTGTTGACTCTCCGCCTCTGTCTCTCTCTGTCTCTGCCAGCTCCGTTCTCTCTTCCCTCTTGGAGCTCCACGGTTGTCCTGATGCTGACCCTAACTCCCACTCCACCTCCTCTGATTCGGTTGCTGGAGGGTCCAGTGGCCAACAGGCCACACCGCCACACCGAAATAAAGACAAGAGCTTAAGAACCCCCGCTCACCTGCTGCACGGCTGTGTATTTGACCGTGTAGGAATAATCGTGGTTGTCGATGATCTCAAAGTCACGCACCACCTCGCCCTTGGTGGCACCGGCAAAGTGGACGTCCAGCTTGGCTTTGCCCGCTCCCTTGGTGAAGACGGTGAAGTGAGTGGGCTTCCCGACCTCCACGCCTGGGGAGGAAGCACCAAGAACGAGGATCAGATTTCACCTTTCCCTCCAGGTGACCCAGTTTGGAGGGGCTAGGTTTGCAATTGGTTCCTTGATGGAGACCCCCACCCATTTCCGGAAATGTCATTGGAACTGTAAAAAAAAACAAAAAACCCCCACAAAACCAGCTTTTTCCCCAGAGCCAAAATTTGCCCCCTCTTTGGAAGACGAGCGATATCATAGCAGTGTTCCAATAGTTAAGTGTTCCACGAAGAAGCAGAACGAAATAAGAGAGTCAGAAGGGACTTGGGAGGTCTTCTAGTCCAACCCCTTCCTCAGTCAGGAAACCCTCCACCATTTCAGACAAACGGCTGTCCGGTCTCTTCTTGAAATCCTCCAGTTGTTGGAGCATTCACAACTTCTGGAGGAAAGCCATCTCACTGGTTAATTGTCCTCACTGTCGCGACGTTTCTCCTTAATTCCTTAATTTCCACCTGTTGTTTCTTCTCCTGCCTTCGGGGGCTTTGGTTGACCCCACCTCTTCTTTGTGATAACCTCTGAGATATTGGAACACTGCTATCGTGTCACCCCCTGGTCCTTCTTTTCATTCAAAGAGGGGGTCAAGCTATGAGAATGTGGCTCGGGGCTCACGGTTTAATTGGAGGAATCCTGACCAGGAGTCACGTTGCAAACGCTCTGACATCACTCACCTGTCCGATTGAGGCCAGGCCCCTCGGCCTTCACTTTGCTGGCGTCGTGCGAGGGGTCTACTTTGATGTGGAAAGGGCTTATGGGGATTTCCTGCAAGGACCCAGAAGAAGAAGAAGAAGAGGAATCAGGAAGGTGGGATACCAGGAGGGGCACGTAACCTTCAAGGGAGGACCTAATTCCTCGGTTCATTCGCTCTTTTGTCCAGAGATAATGTATCAGGTTCATACATGAAGTAGCAATTCAGAAGGCTGATTGCACCATCGGCCGGTCACAAGAACCTGGTCGACTCAAGTTCCATTCTAAATCGGCACCAGATAAAGATCCATTGGATTTAAGAGTGTCCGGAATTAGAACATTGCTGGGAATGTAACGATTCTAGACTGATAATGCACTTAACTCCACCTTCCAGTTCTGCCGTCTCTTCGCCTACAGCTCTAAAATAAAAATATGGCCCAAAATCACCCAGCTGGGTTTTATGGCTAAGGTAGAACTGGAATTCACCATCTCCCAGTGATTGGCCCAAGGTTACCCAGCCAGTTTTCACATGTAAGGTAGGACTAGAAATCAACATCTCCCAGGGACTGACCTAAAATCGCCCAGCTGGCTTTCATGGATAATGTGGAATTAGAACTCACTGTCTCCTGGTTTGGCTCAAGGTCACCCAGCTCGCCTTAATGCCTAAGGCGGGACTAGAATTCATCATCTCCTAGTGATTGGCCCAAAGTCACCCAGCTGGCTTTCATGTCTAAGGTGGTACTATAATTCACTGTCTCCTAGTTTGGCCCAAGGTTACGGAGCTGGCTTTCATGCCTAAGGCTGAACTAGAACTCACCCGCGCGCAGTTTTTAGCCTGGTGCTATAACCACTAGACCAAACTGGCCATGAGGTCGTGCAACTTGACAATGGAGAAGCAGAAGAAGAACCCTCAGAGACCCAAATCGTTTGATCCAGATCCCTGGTCCTATGGCCAATGGCGCCATGAGCCTTACCTGGTTGGCGAAGAGCACCATGATGGTATAACGCCCAGGGCCCGGCGGGGTGTATTTCACCGTGAAGGTGTCGTTGTCGTTCTTGATGATGTCGAAATCGATGTCGGCTTCTGCTGGTCCCACCACCCCAGGGGCACATTTAATCCCAATGCTCACGTCTCCTGCAAAGCCAAAATGGGATTAAGGATCTAGAAATTTTGTGGACAAGACTCGTTCGTCAAACTCATGAGGGTCTCTGGACCCAACAGGATGAAGCTTCCATGAGATTCTTCTGGACAAGCCAACTTCCGATTATTGGCTTGTCCAGTTTGAATCCTTCCAGAAAGCCTGGTTGGCTGGAACTCCATCACAACAATGGAAGATATCAGAAGGTCTTCCCCAACTGGGCAGCCTCCAGATTTCTGCTGGGGACGATGGGCAATTGAGTAGGACGAATCTGGAAGGGTGGACAACATCAGCATCTTTCTATAAATAAACCAATGTTTCTCCATCTGGACCACTTGAAGATGGGTGGACTTCAATTCCCAGAATTCCCCAGTCAGCAACCCTAACCCTAACCCTTGCTGGCTGGGGAATTATGAGAGTTGAAGTCCACCCATCTTAAAGTGGCCCAGGTGGAGAAACACCGCTATGAACCCACCAGAATCCAACACAAAGGATTGTCTTAGCAATAGATGTGGTTGAAGGATCAGAATTCAAAGGTGGGATGTCTTCTTCTCCAGAATGGACACCTTGGGAGGGGGCTCAACCCAACGCGGGTTGGACTGGAAGACCTTCAAAGTCACTTCCAGATTTGCTCTTCTGTTAACAGAACCCTAACCCTGCCAGATCTCCCCTGTCTTCAACCACCTCTACAGGGTGGCTTAGCTGACTCAGGGCACTCCAGCGAGGAGCGCAAGCAGAAACCGCGCACGATCGCGGATTCCTGCCTGCCTCGAAGCGCTGCAAACCGGAACTCCTAACATTTAGGGTTAACTTTAATCTCATTGACTCATAGTCTCCCCCCAGATCTCAGATTTGGGGGGTCACCTTGGCCAGCCTCGCTGCAGTCCACAGTGAAGTAGGTGGGTTCGTTGGCCTTCAGCCCAGTTTTCTCGACTCCAGGACCGTACACCTTGACTTTATCGGGGTGGCTACCTTCTCCGACACTCACCTGTGAAGAGGAAGAAAAGCAGACCAACGTATGAAGAGCAAAACGGAGTCACGGAATCAGGTAGTCCTTGGGCTTACAACCATTCGTAGTTACAATGTCGTCCCCCCCCCCCCCCAAAAAAGTGACATGAACATTCCTCACACTTACAAGTATAGCGGCATCCCCATAGTCGTGTGATCATGACCCTTTTTGAAATATATTGTCACCTTGAAAAACATTCCTACGCCTATTTCCAAGTTGCCGTGAGAAACGGGGGGCAAAAACCCCTGAAGGACCACAAGGCAAATGAACTCAGAAGCACATTCCAAACTTATCTCACAAAGATTGTAACTTAGGCAACCGGGTATTGCGCCCTGCGAAAATCCTTTATTGGAGAATGCGATTGATGACGCCCGGCCCATGAAGGTGTTTGATTGGGAGAATCTGAATTATGATACACCCAGGGGGGGTGGGGGGAAGACAGGGTCATTCATAGGGATTGTAAACTATGTGTCTCAGAGTCGGTTTCATAGAGGTCGTGCCGACCTGTCGCTCCTAATAAATCTTTTGACATTTTTTGAAGCTCGGCTCGCAGCTTTGGATTTAATTTAGGGCGATCGCTGGAATCCTGACAGTAATTTAAAGGAGGACATTTGATGTATACAGAGGGCCCCCAACATACAACAGTTTGGTTAGTGACCGTTCAAAATTACAATGGCCCTACCTCAGATGACTGTGATGGTAAGAAGAAACTGGGAGAGTTGATTGCCTTCAAGATCTCGGACATCTCTAAGCTTCAGCGGAAGATTGGCCAGGGATGTCCTACCTGTCCATGGGTGGGTGGACACACGCTTCCCTGCTCCCCAAAGGACCGTCGACAGAAGATGGCCAAGAACCTACCCACCCCAACTGTTCTGACCTAGCTCCCAAAACATGACCACCCCTCTGAAGTGAACTCAACGATTCCTTTTATTAGGACGCCGGAAACGCCGGCAAAAAGTTTCTCTCTCACCGCTGGCTAATAAGTCTGTCCAAGAAGTTGGACAGCAGTTGAATAGCCGTCTACCACACCTATTCATCTCTGCCCCCTGCGTTTTATTCCCAGAGCTAAGGTGTGGGGTTTGTTAGCAGTGGGGGCTCTTCCATCCCAAGGACCGGCTCATAGATTTCCATTGCTCTCCTCTCCTCTGCCTTTTGAGCTTTTGCGTGTCAGGCACTGGTCCCAGCTGTTCCTCCTCTTCCTCATCAGCCACTTCCAGACCTGGGGGCTGTTGACTCTCCGTTGGAGGGCTGACGGGTGTCCCAGGCTCCGCCCCTCTCTCTCTCTCTCTCTCTCTCTCTCTCTCTCTCTCTCTCTCTCTCTCTCTCTCTGCTGCCTCCATTCCCTCTTACCCCTCGGAGCTCCCCGGTTACCCTGATGCCGACCCTGACTCCCACGCCTCTTTCTCCTCCTCCTCTGATTTGGCTACAGGCCACTGCACCAACACCCTTCTCCATCTTGGAGTTACTCACCCGGAATGGACTCTTGGGGATGTTGACGCCTCCCCAACTGATGATGATGGTGTGCTTGATGGCCTTGGTGGGGACGTAGACGCAGGAGAAGGTCCCGTTGCCATTGTCCTTGACTTTGATGTCAATGGGGGTGCCTTCTGCATCCTAGGAAGAAAAGTAACCTTTGGTGAAAACCAACTCCTACCTTACTCCTCGAGGGTCAAAGAAGTCCTAGGGCCCATCCTGAGGCTCCTCAGTACAGGTGGCTTCGTTGCCAGGTTGAGGTGTCATCACTTCAGGCAGGGTGCTGGGAGCGATCCTGGGCTCCTTTCCTCAAGCAAGAGAGCCAGTTTGGTCTTGGAGTCATGGCACCAGGCTAGAAATCAGGAGACGGTGACTTCTAGTCCCGCCGTAGGCATGAAAGCCAGCTGGGTGACTTTGGGCCAATCACCAGGAGACGGGGAGTTCTAGTCCCGCCTTAGGCATGAAAGCCAGCTGGCTGACTTGGGGCCAATCACCAGGAGATGGTGAGTTCTGGTCCCGCCTTAGGCATGAAACTTGGCTGGGTAAAATTTTGAGCCAATCACCAGGTCACTGGGAGTTCTAGTTCCAGCTTAGCCGTAAAAGCAAGTTAGGTGACTTTGAGCCAATCACCAGGAGACGGTGAGTTCTAGTCCTGCCTTAGAAATGAAAGCCAGCTGGGTGACCTTGGGCCAGTCCCTCTATCTCTCAACCTAGCCCACTTCACAGGGCTGTTGTCGTGGGGAAAAAATATGAGGAAGGGGTTTGTGTATCAGATACGTTCATCACCTTGAGTTGCTTATGAAAACAATACACTCAGAATGTAAATAATAAAGTAAATAATAAATAAAATAAAATAAATAAAAACAGTAAAATAAAAAGTAAATAAAACAATAAAAATGAAAATAAAATAAAAAAATAAAATGAACTGAAAAATGAAAATAAAATAACCAATATATATATATATATATAAAAAAATACAAAATAAAGTAAAAAGAACGAAAACAAAGCAAAACGAAAGAAGCCCTCCAGACTTCATTCCACCCCAGCTGACCTGAGCATAGATCTTGAGCGCTGCTTTCCCGGCTCCTCGAGCATCGATGGTGAACTCGGCCGGTTTGTTCACGATGCAGCCCACTGGCTCCAACCCGGGACCGAATGCTTTGACCTGCAAGGAGGGGGAGGAGATTGGGACCAGCCTTAGCTGAGCAGCCCAACATTGCTAGGAGAGGCCCCCATCCCCACCAGGTGAGCTAGGAGAGGCCCCCACCCCTCTGATGGAGAGCAGGTGAGCTAGGAGAGGCCCACATCCCCACTAGGTGAGCTAGGAGAGGCCCTCATCCCCACCAGGTGAGCTAGGAGAGGCCTCCATCCCTTCCAGGTGAGCTAGGAGAGGCCCTCATTCCCTCCAGGTGAGCTAGGAGAGGCCCCCACCCCTCTAATGGAGACCAGG